AGGAATTCCAGTTACAAGTACTGAATGTTTGAGAAAAATGCGTGCTTTTCACCTGAGAAACAGTAATTTCATTAAGAAAATGTGTGACGAAGCATACATTACTTGAAGATAAAAACAATCACAGAAAAATCTTGCTATTTTACAGAAGATTCATTTCAAGTGTGACTGCAACATTCTGACGTTGGTAGACTAAACTGTCAAACATAAAATAAAAAAAAACCTGATCATTGTATCTCAATACCACCTAACTAATATATTGTACTTTCAACATCTTTTCATGTGTTCAATATTTAAGATTTGTGCACAACTCTATGTAAACAAATTTGAAAAAAGCATATAAGGATTATAACACATTATATAACATGTAACATATTGATATTATATTTTACATTTATTCTATATTTAATAATAGTAATATTTTGTGCGTGCCTTGCATATATAGGAGATGCTTATGTATCTAGTGAAAGAGACCTTGCAAACTCTTGAAAATATTTTAAAAGAGTTATTTTTTAATCGGTTTACCGAAACTATAATATAATTATATTATTTCTCTCTTTTTTTCCTTTCTCCATTTCCTCCCAAATCTCTCTCCTCTTGTTCAAACTTTCTATCTACTTTTTATTAATTGATGTTACATCTCAGTGTATATATGCTTATTTATTCATAGATAGATGTGTATGGATGTTTTCACTGCATGGACATGTGCATACAACCTGCATAAAGTGCTTTAGAGAAGACTAGAAGAGAGTGCTAGATCTCCTAGAGCTGGGGTTATTGATAGCTGTGAACCACCATGCTGGTGCTCGGATCTGAATTCAGTTCTGCATAATGCATGAGCTACTACCTATCTCTTTTCTTTACTAGTGTTTGTGATGAATTTTCTGTGACTGAATTTTGAAGACTTTCCTCGGTATGTTTTGATGTTTTCATTTTACTAGAAATATATTTTTAATAAATTGATATTATATATAGTTCATTTTTTAAAAAGATAAATTATGCTTAATATATCAAGAATATGGAATAATTCTAAAAAAAAAATGACTTACCTGGAAAATAGAATATTCATTCTTGTTAAACATGACTTTGTAAATTCCAGTTAAACATTGCATGTTTTCAAATGAAAACAAAGACTAAAATCTTTTAATAGTTTAAAATTAAAATAGTAAAATGAGGTATATTCATAAAACTATTTTTAAATATAAAATAAATTTATCACAACCATTAAATGGTCAGCCTTAAAAATGAGTTAAATCCTGTGTTCATATCTCACAGAATTGTAAAATTTACAATTAGAGATAGAAAATTTTCTGGTTATTAAGGTGTCTCTATTTCATTATAAGAAATGATAGCATATTATATGCCTCCCATAGGACTCTTTCCTATGGTTTTATAATGAACTTCGCATGTATATCCAAAAAGGGATATGTGCCTTGTGTAATCAGTTTTCTTCATCATTTCTTGATACAAATGATGTTAACTCAGGACTCTTAAATGTTTTTAAGTATTTTAATTGTTTGAAAAAAGAAATGATATTAAATGAATGTGTATTTGTATACCAGTCCTAAAAAGTCCAAACATGAATATTCAGCTTCAGAATACACATGCAATACCTCAGAATGCAATAAACTAATTTACATATTTGACAGGAAGTACAATAGCACCAGCTTATTTTTTTGTTTGTTTGATTTTTAATTTTTTTAAACTTCTTTCTTAAGCTAATGGCCTTTCTTTTTTTTTCTTCTTTACTGGATATCTTATGCACATTTCAGATGTTAGTCCCTTCCCCCTTATCGTTAAAATGGCTATTTAATATTGAAAAACATAAGCTCTAATATTTAAATTCTATTAATGCTTACTAGTTTTTAAAGGACTTAGTAGAAATTTTAAATTTGTTGTCTAGTACCAAATATTCATCCCTGAAAAGCAACACCTAGAATTATATAGAATTAACAAAGTTATTCAGGAATATTTTGTATATACATAAATATTTAAGCATACAATAACAACTAGGAAAAAGATGTCATGGATTCCAATAAGAGCAAGGTAGCACTTATGGGAGGACATGGAGGGAAAAAAGGTAAGGGAGAAATGTAAGCATAATCTTAAAACAAAAATAAAAATAAGCAAATGATCAACAACCACAAACTGAACAGAAACCCAATGAGGTCATGTAAGTGCCTTAATTTTACATATTTTTTCCCTTAAAATGAGCTCCTTTCACTTCTGTGGCTTCAGTTTTATTTATTCTTCCAATTAATTTTTAATTAAAATATTATTACACCATTCCTCCTTTTCTTTTCCCCCCTCTTGCTACTTCTATGAGCTCTCCCTTCACCTCATAGCATATTACCGTACTATCAAAATGATGTCCTCTTTTTTTTGATTATTTTTGTTACATGTATAAATGTGCACATTATATAACTACAACTGAAAAGCTCGCATATTTTGTTTGTTTCTTTGATTCTGTGTACCTGGTCTCAGGACTGACTTCTTTGTACAGGATAACTAATGAGGAGACTCATGTTTTAGAGTAACAAATTGCCCTGTTCTCAATAATAATTAGTTTCTGTGATGTCATTTTAATATCTCTTTTTATAATTTTATTCATATAACACCTTTTCAATTTTTTTATATTAGTTTATTGGTTCTTCATTTTTTTTTCTGGACTCCATCTTGTGTTTCTTCTCTAATAACTTTTCATATCTTGCTAATTTGGGGTTTAATATGTGATTTTGCTTTTCATTCCTTGATATAAAAAACTTTATTCAAAATGTTTACTATTTTCATCTGAAATTAATATTAATTAATATTAATCTTTATGAACAGTTATTTGCAGGCTACAATAATTGTCATACTATACCCCATTGACTTGATACATATTTATTAATAGAGATTATCTTTTTATTGCTTATTTTAATTATTTACATTCCAAATGTTGTCCCCCTTCCTGGTTTCACCTCCTCAAGCCCCTTATCCCATTCCACCTCCCCACTGCCTCTATGAGGGTGCTCCCCAACCCAACAGCCCACTTCAGCCTCATCACCCTAGCATCCCCCTATGCTGGGCCATTGAGCCTCTACAGGACCAAGGGCCCTCCCTTGCGTTGATGCCAGAGAAGACAATTTTCTGCTACATATGAAGTTGGAGCCATGAATCCCTCCATAGGTACTCTTTGGTTGGTGGTTTAGTCCCTGGGAACTCTGAGGGGTACGGCTAGTTGATATAGTTGTTCTTCCTATGGGTTGCAGTACCCTTCAGCCCCTTCAGTCTTCCCCCTAACTCTTCTGTTGGGGTCCCCGTGGGAAGTCCTTTGGTTGGCTGTGAGCATCTGCCTTTGTATTGGTCAGACTCTGGAAGAGCCTCTGTCAGCAAGCATTTCTTGACTTCAGCAATAGTGTCTGGGTTTGGTTCTGCAGATGGAATGGATCCCTAGGTGAGACAGTCTCTGGATGGCCTGCCCTTCAGTCTCTCCTCTGTCCTTTGTTTATACATTACCTTTAGACAGGAACCATTTTGGATTAAAATTTTTGATATGTGTGATTTGTTATGTTTTTTAAGTTTTCTTTGATTTCTTCTTTAATATATTTTAAAGATGCAATTTGCAGGTATTCATGATTATTTCCTTTTTATATATAATTGAATTATAGTTCATTTTGAAGTTGAAAAAAAGGAATTTTGGATTATTTGTTTTGTCCTTTAACATATTAAGACTTATATGTGATATGCTCATTGCTTCACTCCATATAATATTCTTCAGGACTAGAAGTGCTTGTGCCAAATTTAGTTGGCAAGAATATGCCCATTAGTTATATTTAATGAAAGACTTGATAATCTTATTGCTGGAGAATACTTGGTACACACTTCTCTTGATACTTGTTGAAGTAAATTTTCCATATATTTATGTTAGATCTGTTTGGTACATATTGTTCTCTCCTATGATTTTGAAAATTGATTTTCAATATGAAAATTGAAGGCTAAATATTAAAATCTTTTAATTTTTTCTATTATGTTTATTTAAAATATATCAGTTTGCTTTTATATTGAGATACTCTGAGGCTTTTACTTGCCTCTTGTCTATTTAATGGCTTCTTTGTTCAATTCTTCTTAGACTATCTTTGGGTGTTCCTAATTGATACATATAGTTTATCTGGGAAAGGAAAATATCACATATTAATCAACTTAATAGTTATTAAGGTAATAGGCTTATGAGACAGTTATTATTATGGAAAATAGCTATAAGTGCTTATCAACATACCATAAAATTAGACAGACAAGCACTAATATGTTTATTACAAACTAAGCATGTTTAAAAATATTATTCAAACCAAGAAAACATGATTTATATTACATGTGGGGAAAATTTAAAAAAGGCCGCCACAGCGGCGCAAGCCCGCCGAATGTGGGGAAAATTTAAAAAAGGCCGCCACAGCGGCGCAAGCCCGCCGCCGTGGCGGGTCCCCACATCAGGGAGGGAGATCCTACGGTTCCAGCGGCCTGAGGGCCTTGGCGGCGGCAGGCCCCAGTAACACGAGGAAGTCCTTGGTTCCAAAAAGGTTTATTGACATGACGGATAATAGATGGATCTAGGCGTATCCCCCAAAAACTCAGGGCCGTCCCGAGTTATATAGGGAGGGAGAAAGGGGGAGGATTAGGGGAGGATCTGGGGGGAGGAATGTTTAATTTGCTCTGCCCTCTGGCCTTCATTAGTATGTAAATCTCTAAGGCCTGAGGCCTATCGCCTGGGTGACTCTATGGAGATCTGTGACTGTTTTTCAGGATCTTAGGTGATGGGAGGGACCGAACTCCTGCCGGTTCTCATGAGGAATTCCACAGAGAATCTCGGGGTTCTAAGTACCTGCTCAACCATGACCCAGGATACCCTTATGCAGTCCCACAATTACACACACGGCCAATTTTAAAAAACAAAGAGTTTTAAGGTAAATGTTAGTAATCTTTCAGTTATTTTAAGTCATTCTCTGTCCTATTTTTTTTTTTCAGAAAACTTTCATTTTAGAACTATGGCCAATTCCACCCTAGTGACTGAGTTCCTCCTGGAGGTTTTTGCTGAGACATGGGAGCTCAGGATCCTACTCAGTGTGCTGTTCTTGCTGGTGTACCTGGGCAGCTTATTAGGGAATCTTATCATCATCATTGTTACTACAGTTGACCAGACCCTGAAGAAGACACCTATGTATTTCTTCCTCAGAAATCTGTCCATCTTAGACATGTGTTACATTTCCATCACTGTCCCCAGTACCTGTGTTAACTCTCTCACTGGCCACAGGAATATTTCTGTGGCTGGGTGTGCAGTACAGATCTTTTTGTTCTTATTTTGTGCATGTGTAGAGATTCTGTTTCTCACCATCATGGCCCAGGACCGCTATGTGGCCATCTGCAAGCCTCTTCTCTACCATGTGATCATGAACCACCAGTTCTGTGTTCAGATGACACTAGCTTCCCTACTTAGCTCATTTATCCTTGCAAGTGTGCACACTTTCAAAACTTTTCAGCTGTCCTTCTGTCACTCTAACTTAGTCCCACAGTTCTTCTGTGATCTGCCTGCTTTGCTGAAGCTTTCTTGCTCTGACACCTTTAACAACAAACTCTTAATACTTCTGTCTGACATTGGACTCAGTGGTAGTTGCTTTGTCTTTATTGCCATATCATATACTCGCATATTATCAACTGTATTGAAGATTCCCATCAAAGGAGAGAGAGGGAAAGCCTTTTCTACCTGTGTCCCTCACATTATTGTGGTGTCTGTCTTTCTTAGTTCTGCTGCCTATGTGTATCTAAGACCTCCAGTAGAATCATTTGAAGTAGTTCAGGAAATGATTATTTCTGTATTTTATACTATGGTTCCACCATTCTTAAACCCTATCATCTATAGTCTTAGAAACAAACAGATAAAGGAGGCTGTGAGGAAATTTACACTGCAAGTTTTTCCCGTATTTGAATATAAAATGAACATTTATTTCTCTTGGTACTTCAGAGGAAAAGAACTGATAAAATAACAGAAAATTATATACAAATACACAAGCATGCATAAACACTTATACCACAACATTTTCTTCCCTTTAATAAATAGATTATAGTTACCCCTTTCTCTACTCCCACAAACAGGAGAAAGGCCTGGAGTTCCAAAGGCTGGAAGCTTTGGCGATGGCAGGCCCCAATGACATGAGACAGTCCTTGGTTCCAAAAGGGTTTATTTTTATGGCAGATGGTAGATAGATCTGGATGTACCCCTGTGAAACTCAGGGCAGACCTGAGTTAAATAGAGAGGGAGAAAGGGGGGAGAGTCTGGGGAAGAATGCTTAATTTGCTCCAACCTCTGGTCTTCATTAGTATGTAAATCTCTCTAGGGCATAAGGCCTGCAGTCATGCCCTCTACCTGTGCACTTTGGGATGGGCTATAATGGCCTATGTGACTGAACAATGTAGGTCCATGGAAACTAGACTGCTTGTCAGAACCCTGGGTTCTGGAGACATGGCAGAACACCTGCTGTTTCTCCCTTGGAGTCTCAGGATTCCAAGCCCATGTGCAGCCAAGAACCAAGATACCCTTACGCAGATCTACATCTCCTCCCATTTACTTTTTTTAAAAAAGAGGGAGGGAGTCTGTGTCATCTCTGGTGAAAATTTTGGATGAGGAAGTCAAAAGAAAAGATTATGTAGGCCAGGAGGGGTTAGCACATTTAAGTCACAGGGTAAGGGGAGTTGAGCATGGGGGTTGAGAAGGCAAGGGATCATTGAATCAAATACAGGCGGTAAAGTTTAAAGATAATAACATCTGACTAATCTAGATAGACATTATGTTTTCCTTACTAACATGTAACTTTAGCTATTTGACATTGGCAAAAGAGTTCATCTGTAGGTGGAAGGTCTGGATCTTTATTCTGTCTCAGCATGTGTTTCTGTGTCTTTGCGAGTGTCTCTGGGTTTTGGCATGCATCTCTGGAGTTTGGTGGGTGTCTCTGGGTCTCAGCATGTCTCTGTAGTCTTCAGTCAGACAGTGTGGCTGGAAGAATGTAGTTTGGTGACTCAGGCAGGTTTCAGAGGTGACATTGTCTCCATTGGACTTGTGGGAGCACCTGTAGGATAATCACAACAGGAAAGCAGGGGGATGTCTGCAAAGGGTGTGTAGTAAGCAATAGACTACTTGGGAGCAAGCACGTCATGGTGTGTCATTGAGATCCTAGAAAAGCAAAGGTGTTTGAGGAAATTTAGTCTTAGAAGGCACCTTTGAGTCTGTTTTGGATGACTGAGGAAGAAAAACATCATGTTAATTATGTATTTGGGATAGGCAGCAACAGTTTGTCTGTAAATGGAAACTAGTTGCTAATTAAGATTTGAAAAATGGTGATTAGCATAGTTAATTTAACCTGTGGAAGTAGATTAAATGACTTTTGAACCTTGAAATAATCTTTAAAAGTTGAAAAAATGTTGGACATATATCACGAGTGTTAAAGAGAAAAGGAGGCATTTAACAAAAACAAGAAAATTTTTGGTTGAAAACTATGAACCTTGTTGTTTTAGGTGTTCCTGTTAGGGAGAAAAGGAAACATTTAAATAAAAAACAGAAGATTTTTGGTTGAAAAGCATGAACGTTATTGCACGTCTTCCTGTTGGGGGAAAAAGCATTAATGGTGGGTTTAGAAACAGAGAGGAGGGGCTTGCTGTGCCATGTGGTTGCTGGGCTGACACGTGGTGGCTTGGTGCTCTAGCAGAGAGGCCAGGGTATTCTTCATTTGGTTTTCTTAGCAATCTTAAATGTAGAGAAAGTGATGAAAGGCCAACCTTGAAAAAAAGCTCAAAGCAAGAAACATAGGGATTTGATAGGAGAGTTTGAGTTAGAGTGAGGTTTTGTGTAATAACTGAGGCAGGGAGGGGGAGACACGTGAAAGCTGGCTAGGGGCTGGCAGCTCCTGGGAGCAGCTGGCAGGCAGTGTGCAGTTTCTCCAGGTTCAGCCAAGAGTTTTTAGCCATGAAAAAAAAAAAAAAAACTGTGAGGAACACAGGGGCAAAGAGAGCAGACAGTGTCACAGACCCACTGCTTCAGGCAAGCTGGCTGGGCTGTAGCTGGCTGCAAATGACCAAGAGGTGAAGGAGGGAAGGGAGCAAGCAGGATGCCTGCCCTGTTGCTTCAGGCAAGCAGGCTGGGCTGTGACTGACTACAAATGGTGGAGGAAGATGGGAGAAGCCTACACTAACAGGCAGTTCACAAAAGATTGACCCCCCTGGGGAAGAAACGCTGGAGACTAGAGTTCAGAGCCAGTGTTCTTGAGAAACCAGCAGGCATAGCACAAAAGACTGACCCCTGGGGGGAGGGGAGAGAGTGGAGATTAGGGAGTCATTGCCATCTTGTCAAGTTGGAGAATACTGTGGGAAGAGAGAGAGGAGGGGGGACAGAGAGAGACCTGCCTAGTTTGTGAACTAGGCTGGAGTTACTCATAGTTCCATGGAGAGGTTTTTGGTGGGTGCCAGCGTGGGGTACTCTTGGAGCTGGCTTTGGCTACATCCTCTACCACCTGTAGGGAATGATGTAGGCCAACGCACATGGGCACACACAGGCGTGAATCTCTGTTTCATTAAGGGTCTGTGCATATGCCACGATTCGGTAGGCTGGGATTGTAGCTCAGCATGGCAGGAGCACACAGGATCTTGGCTGAGTTTATTCCCTGCAACACTGTGTGAGCACAGTCTAGTTCCTCTGGGTGCAGAGCTCTTGGATTGGGGATCAATTAACATAGATACAGAAACCAAGATATTCCATGACAAAACCAAATTTACACAATATCTTTCCACAAATCCAGCCCTACAAAGGATAGTAGATGGAAAACTCCAACACAAGAAGAGAAACTACAGCCTAAGAAAGTATTCTCTTAACAAACCCAAAAGAGGATAGCCACACAAACATAATTGCACCTCTAACAATAAATGTAACAGGAAGCAGCAATCATGCTTCCCTAATATCTCTTATCATCAATGGACCCAATTCCCCAATAAAATTACATAGTCTAACAAACTGATATGTAAACAAGACCCAGAATTTTGCTGCATACAGGAAATGAATCTCATTGACAAAAACAGAAACAACTTCAGAGTAAAAGGCTGGAAAAAATTTCTAAGTAAATGGTCCCAAGGAACATGCTACATAATTAGAAATTAGCCATTCTAATAGCAAATAAAATTGACTTTCAATCAAAAGTTATCAAAAAGATAAAGAAGGGCACTTCATACACATGAAAGGAAAAATCTACCAAGATGAGCTCTCAATACTGAACATATATGCTCTAAATGCAAGGGCATCCACATTCATAAAAGTAACTTTACTAAAGCTCAAATCACACATTCTGCCTGACATAATACTAATGGGAGACTTCAATACCCCACTTGCATCAATGGACAGATCATGGAAACAGAAACTAAACAGATACAGTAAGATTAATATAAGTTATGAACCAAATGGATTTAATAGATATCTAAAGAACATTTCATCCTAAAACAAAATAATATACCGCTTCTCAACACTTCATGCTACCTTTTCCAAAACTGATCACATAATTGGTCACAAAAGAACCCTCAACAGATACAAGATTTAAATAAACCCATGCATCCTATCAGATCACCACAGACTAAGGCTAGATTTTAATAACAACTAAAACAACAGAAAGCCCACATATACATTGAAGCTGAACAATGCTGTACTCAAGGATAACTTGGTCAAGGAATGTTTAAAGAAAAAAATTAGTCTTTTTAGAATTGAATGAAAATGAAGGCACAACATACCCAAACTTATGGCACACAATGAAAGCAGTGCTAAGAAGAAAACTAATAGCTCTAAGTGTCTACAAAAAGAAGCTGGAAAGAGCATACACTAGCAGCTTAACAGCATATTATAAATCTCTAGAACAAAGAGAAGTAAATACACCCAAGAGGAGTAGACAAAGGGAAATTATCAAATTCAGAGCTGAAATCAACCAAGTAGAAACAAAAAGAACTGTACAAAGAATCAACAAAACCAGGAACTGGATCTTTGAGAAAATAAACAAGACAGATAAACTCTTAGCCAGACTAACCAGGGGGCACAGAGAAAGTATCCAAATTAACAAAATCATAAGTGAAAAGAGAGACATTACAATAGAAACCAAGGAAATTCAAAAAATCATCAGATCCTACTACCGAAGCCTATACTCAACAGAACTATAAAAACTGGTTGAAATGGACAATTTTCTAGACAGATGCTAGGTACCAAAGTTAAATCAGGAGCAAATAAACCATCTAAACAGTCTCATAATGCCTAAAGAAATAGAAGCAGTCATTAAAAGTCTCCAAATTTAAAAAAAAAAAAAGAAAAGTCCAGGATCAGATGGTTTTAGTGCAGAATTCTATCAGATCTTCAAAGAAGACCTAATTCTAATATTTTTCAAACTATTCCACAAAATAGAAACAAAAGGAACACTACCCTTTCCCTCTAGGAAGCTACAATTACACTTATCCCTAAACTACACAAAGACCAACAAAGAAAGAATACTTCAAACCAATGTCCCTTACGAATATCAATACAAAAATACTCAATAAAATTCTAGCAAACCAAATCCAAGAACACATCAAAACAATCATCCATCATGATCAAGTAGGTTTTATCTCAGGAATGCAGGGATGGTTCAATATTCATAAATCCATCAATGTAATCCACTATGTAAACAAACTCAAAGAAAAAACCACATGATCATCTCACTAGATGCTGAGAAAGCATTTGACAAAATTCAACTCCCCTTCATGGTAAAAAAAAATTGAAAACATCAGGAATACAAGGCCTATACCTAAATGTGAAGAGCCGCGGTGGGCAGAAATGGCGCTGGCATTCTATGTTCTCACAAGTCCACAGATTTACTGCCTTTGTGTAAGGGAAAAAGCATGCTAAGTCCCATCCCGGGGCGTATATACATTTATGGGCAAGCAACCAAAGAGAAATGTACATGCCGCTCCAGGGGGTATAAAAACAGTACCTTCTCGGGGCCCCGGGGTCTTCCTCTATACATCGTAATAAAGAACTGCAGAAGA